GTGAGTCGTGATGGAAGATGAGCGGGCTCTTCGGCTCGATGGGGGACTAGCCACGAACTGCTTGAGAGAATGAGTTGACTGACAAATGATCTTTGCCCTGGCAGACAAAATTCGCAAGACAGACGGATGTCCAGGAATACCACATGGGTAAGTGTGCAATAGCTGGCTGAAGCGCTTGCTTTATGTTCAGCGGTGGCCCAATCTGTTTGGCTTTTCGTTGAGTAAGACATGCTGACGAAAGCCTGACGAACAGGAGGAACAATTCTCCTCGCGTACTTCCACTACTGCAATAAGGGAATCTACCCATTTTCCGAGGATTGCAGAGACCAGGACTTGCGGACACTGGCCCAGCTGGACGACGATGCGGTGCAGTTTATCCACTACACGCGCGCAATGGCAATGCAAAACAGTCAGTGGTAGCCCTTGTTTCCTAAACCAAGCCCCCCCCCCCCCTTGTGACCGAGACGGGAGTATTTTGATGCGTGTGTGTGAGTGTGTGTGTGTGTGTGTGTGTGTGACTGTTTTGTGCTAGAGAGATGGACATCCCTTGGATCGGCAGCGTGACAGGCCAACCAACAAGCTGGGAGTGGTGACTGACGTGATTGAACTAGAACGTGAATGGGAAGAGGTTCAACGAGCCAACCAGTACGAGCAGCCATACTTCTTCGTCAGCCAGCTCTTCCAGCGAGACTGGCAGCCCCAAACGTGGGCATATTAATCGAGGTGGGCAGGTGGAGAGGGATGAACGCCAGGAGGTGAGGGGGAGGGCGATACTTTCCGTTTGGATCTTGCTTTTTACCGGGACTGGGGAGGGGTGCACACACTAAAGCAACGTGCAGAGGCGCAATGCGGGAGGGCCCAAAAGACAAGTCATTGGCTTTTAAAGGTTTGGCATTGAAGGCGGTGTTCATCTCATGCTTTCATTTTCTTCAGATTTGTTTTGTTCTCCCCATCATTCACGAGCAGGCCGTTTGAAACTTACTTATTCTTCTCGTTCGACCGGGACTCTTGAATCGAAGAGGTCCACCTCGGTCTGTCTGTTTATTGTACGGAGCGATGATGACGGCAATGGAGGGAGAATGCATATCGGTGGCTCTTTCCCATCCTTTTACTTTCCTTTCATCTCACTTGCTCTACCGTTTCTCTCAAGGGGAGATATCACGGCAGGTTTGCGTGTGGGCAGAGGAAGGAAAAGTGAGAGGGGGAAGTTTCACCGAAGTTGACGACGATGACGATGGGTGGCAAAACATGATCAGGAGCCGAGGCTTGTTGTTTCTGTTGTTGTCCATAGTAACTCTATGTGTTTGTACTCGCCCGATGGTTCCGTTCAGCGCATCGTCGTGCCGAGATTGTGCATGTCCCATGATTGACTGTGGCGAATGTCGGATATCGGTGTATTTTGTGCCATGTTACACTGCGGTATATGGTTCGAAACCTCCGAGAGTTCGCGATGTGCATCAGAGACAAATAATGCTTGAAGTCGAGGAATGAAAGACCCGGAGCTTATCGAGTTCAGCATTTCGTTTTGGAGACTACGAAGTTCCATGTCGACCCCCAACCCTCGCCAATGGTTCAACCAGGGGATGCGCGCACATGATATTTAACTGCGTTCTGGTTTCAAAAGCTCGAACACGTCGTCCTGGTCGAGAATGGCTCGAGCTGTGTCGATCCGCCATGTGCACCGTTGGACAGGGTCCTGCAGGTGTCCTTGCAGACGTGTGTCCAGTCGAATGGTGTGGAGTTGGCGCAGTTCTATTCGTAGAAATCCTTCACCGGCCCAATGCAGACTCCGCTTTTCATCAGATTTCATATGCATCTCTGGTTCGCGGGCCGGTCCAGTGCTGTCAAAAAAAAGTTGAAAAAAAAAAAACCAAGACAAGATGAAAAAGATACACATCACATTCAGAAAAGATTTGTATGCACGCGCGCGCCCCAGACCCGACTGACATATTCGTGCGGTCAATGGGGCATCTAAATGTTTCAAAGTCGGGTGGCAACCTGGGAAAGGCCGGGAGGTTTGAATGATGGATCAGCGGGATGGAGGATAGCGACTGGCGGGATGGGAAATGGGAGATGGGGAATGTGGTGTGGTGTCGTCGACTAAGACATGTCGGGCAAGCAACTCGGATGAAATCCGGTCTGGACTTGATGTTTTTCCCTGTTGGCTTGGGGGAGTATTTCGGTCTCTGAGGGTGTGCAGGTCTGAGATGGTTGTCGGTAAGGCAGGCCTCGAACAAGCCTTGATTGACGGAGGGAGATGGGGGAGGGGGCGTGAGGAAGAAGGAAGAAACCCCTTGAAAACCCCCCCTCTCACCTCTCCTTTCTAAGTAAAAGACATGCCTAATTGAAATTAAGGTACGAAGAATGAAAACGAAGAATAGATTCTTCCCGAGGTTCGCTGCATTTTCGTTTCCGCACTGCGACCAGAGTTATCAAGAACGAAAGAAACAAACATTGGGTTGGGCGGTTAAGGGAAGAAACTCGGCGAGTTGCGCAAAATTGACACTGGGCTTGCAGCACTTGAGGTCGCATGACGAGGTTGCTCGCATCATTCCCGGCCGGGTCTTGTTGTCTTTGCCGGCAGGTTCGGAGGAGTCACGATGGTGAAGGAGGGTAGGGCCAGAAGGTGAGGTGACGTTGAACCGGGAAAGTGTGGAGAACCAACGGGAAGTTGGAAATGCCTTAGCTAAGGCAAGGTCCTCCCCTCCTCCTCCTCCTCCTCCCCACCGTGCCGCCGTCAACCTTGCTTTCCTTGGAGGTTCCTTCCAACTGAAATGAGTGGGGTGTCGTGCACGTACCAGTCAAAGACCCATAAATTCCACATCGATGTTCCCGACATGGAAGTGACTGGGGGTAGCAGCGCAGGGGTCCCTCGCTCATCGAAAAGAACGGGAGGTGCGACCGGGACGGACTGCAAGTGGTCCCAGCCATCGGCGTCAGGGGTCGCGGCTCTCCTGTCCCGCTCGCCTACCGCCCGGCTAGCTGCTTACCTTATTTTACATGGGTGTAGATGCAAGCGCATCCAGCAAAGTCGCAATATTGCAGACAACCATCTCTTTTCTCCTCTTCGTGCTGGGCCTGTTCCTTCCTGCCTTACTACCGAGTACCTTACCTTACCTTATCAACAATTCGCCATCGCGAAAACCTTCAGATCCCTCAGCAGGTAGCAGTAGTCAGCACGTATGGTACCATATCGATGATGAATGTCTGATGCCTTTTTCTTCCCCCTTCTACTCCGTACTTCAAGTTTTCCAGGCATGTCTTTCACCTTGGAGCCCTCCACCGCCCGCTTCCTCTCGGCTGCGTTTGTTTGAAAATATTTCTTTTCTTTTCCTTTCCTTTCGCATTACATGCTCGTTGTCTGCATGTCTCCAGTTGCGTGCATTTGTGGGACAAACGCCTCGCCTACCTAGTGCCCACAGACGCATCGTCGCATCTGCACTTCAGTCATGGGTACGTACCTAAACCTACCTGACCTCAGGGCACTTGCTTTCCATCTCTGCCCGGCTTTGTACACGTTACCAACACCACTTTGGAGAGCATAGTGGATGCTAAATCCGAGCATCTTCTTCATTGCTTTTGCTGTTGGACACCAGCTACGTTACCCATGCCATTGACTCCACGTTGAAACATGGATAGCTTAGACACACAACCTCCATTTCCCTCTCTCGGTCTACCTATGGGTAAAGCCCGATGTGCCAATCAGCCAGCCAGTATCCAGCGACTGTCTCTCATGTGGCTTATGAGCACACCAGCTCCATCTCTCTCACACACACTCAAACTCCTCTTCGAGACGGCCTTTGTTACCAGCTTTTTTCTCCCCTTCGTATTCTCGTCTCAGACCCTACCGGCGTGCACCTTAGCACCTCTCCTGCGATACGCCGTCTGCTCTCAAGATGGCCGTCGTTTCTTTCAATTCCTTGGGATCGAACGAGGTAGGACGAGCGAAACGGCTACCAGCAGCGCCGATTGTGTTGAGGCGCTTCATCAGTCTCTCAGAGCAAAGGAAAATCTGAGCGTCGGGTGACCAGGCCCTCAAACGTTGATCCTATCAATCGGTCTAGGGCCGCGGGTCGTTCATCGGGGCAACACGAGCACACGAATCGAGTCGGACACCACCTACTATCGTCCCCGGAGCGCACAACTCAACTCGACGGCCCGGTTCAGGGCGCGGAGACGGGCGACAACACCAAGCAAGGCCCTGTGCCGTAGCTTAGTGCTCCCGATCACCCACCCAACCGTCATCGTCCCGAGGATTCGAATATGCCGTGCTACACCATGGCCACAAGAGCTTCCATTTGATCGTGCACCCAGCCCCGTCGTATTTTGATACCCGCTCTCTTATTCTACGTCTTCCTCGTCTGCGGATGTTTCAACAAGCAACGGAGGCGCTCGCCACAAAACGTGTTTTTCCCACTGCGTACCGAGGTGGGATCGATCATGTCTCTGATCGCACACCCATTCCCCACCGTATTGGATCGCTGAAGTGCTTTCCCGACGCCGAGCGAGGTAGCTTTGGTGGTCCATGTTCGTCCAATGTCGACCTCACCATGCGTACCCTGCTGCTGCAATCTGGTGCCCGTACCGTGCGGCTTGCCTTCTTTTATCCACCATGGTAACTCACAATCTGCATGGAAGTGTACGACTGTGGTATCGTTGTCCATAACGATACATTCGACGACACATTGCACACGATGTGTCTTTGAGTCCGTCAAAGATCCGTCACCTTCGCAACTTAGCAGACCCAATCGGCCCAAATCGCGCCCTGCGTGCCACGAGGAGCTGGCTGTCTGTTGCGCCAAAACCCGACTTGATGTTTTAATTCGCTTCATTTTTTTAAACGCCCCTCCCCACAGTGTGCATCGTGGGCGATCAAATTGCTAGTTTACCGTTCTTAGCACAAGCAATGTATGGCTACGTGCGTAACACCAACAATGGGCACATAGCACATATCAGTGGCTCCCTTGTAGAGCCGCTGGTTTATTTTTTATTTTATTTTTCCACACTCTAGTTACGCTCTGTCTGATTTGCGCTCTCCGGATGGCTACATATTGCATCCAAAGTGCTAATGCAATGTGCGTGTCCTTCCATTGCCTCGGGTTGCTGCGTTTGCCATTCTCATCCCTCGCGGCTCGCTACGATTTGCTACCCACCAAGGAGCTCCTTCGAGAGACAATCGGAGCCATTGCAACCCCCTCCCAGTCCCTACGGACACTACTCTACGGAGTCCGTACGTACTCAATCTTTTCTTTCCCCGGTCCACCACCACTGCACCGGCTCCTCTCTTCTACATCTTTCTTACGGTCCCATTCGAACCCCACTGTTCGTACAGGAAGCATCTTCTATCGCTCTATGAGCTCTCGTCCTTTTTCCTCTTCTTCGACACCGTCATCCATGTCTTGTGCCTTGAGCAGAAGATATGCCCGGGCGTGGGTACCTAACAAATCAGAGGGCCGCTGGGTCAAGGGGAGATGAGGCACAACCGGCCTGAGATGGGGTGCGCAGTGCATCCTGTTTTTTTTTTTTTCCTTCTCCTCCTTTCTGTTTCCCTTCCCTTCTTCGATTGTGTTTTATTCCCTTCCACGTCAGGTTCGGGTTGTCCATCGCAATCAGGGCCTAGCTCAGCCCGGACCAGCCCAGATCTTCTTTTCCTCTCATATTGCTTCTTTCCCGCCGGGTACCTGCAAGAGAATGGTGCACTTTCCCACCCCCCCTGGCGTTGCGCAAGTCTACCTCACGGACTGGCCACTTCTTGATACTTACACTCGCAACAGCCTCCATGCCCGGGAGAGCAATGAGGAAAAAGTATATGAAAAATGGGAGAAAAAAAAAAGAAAGAAAAAAGGAAGAAGAAGAGAAGGAAGAAGAAGAAGTCAGAGGAAACTAGAGAGGGAAAGAGCGAAAGAGTGAAAAAGGCAGGTATTGATTAAGGTGTTGCGTGGACGTGTGGCGGAAGGCACTACGCATGTGATGTAAGGCAGGGAGGAGACGTGCCTTCGAAGTCAAGGTCAAGCAAGTGCAAATGCCCGTCCATCTTTCCATATTTTTTTCAATTTTCCCATCCCTCCTTCCATCTGCCACCCCCATGACATTCCGTACAACGAGGTGTCCGCAACAGCCTACAGCTACTTTTACTTTCTTTACTTCACCTTGCCTTCCTTATTCACCCTACAGATACTTGACCTTGGATTACCTTATGCACTCATCTTTCATTTCATGCTTGGGAAGGAACGATGAATTATCGCAAGGTAAGGTAAGGTAAGGTACCTTCTGGTAGGTAGGCAAGGGAATCTCGGCATGTACCCTCCCGTCCAACTTTGCTACACGGCCGTGGATTGTGGTGCACTTTGGCACCCTGCATCTGCATCTCCCTCCAAGTTCTCTTCTTGCCATGCTACCTTACCTCAGGTCGGAAGTTACCTTTTCGTATTGCCGTTTACTTCGTACACCTCGAGGTAAGATAGGTATTCCCCAAGTGTTGTCTCAAGGTAGGTAAGGTAAGATACGTTAGTTCCTTCCATTTACCTCGCCGCGCAGGTCTTGTCTTGGCCCATCCTGCCGCTCAATTTGTTCCTTGCCTGCGTTAGTTCCCAGGGTAGAAACTACCTTTCGTTGTTTTACTTTATTTATTTTTTCGCCAATTCACTCTCAGTTGCCATTCGCATGCCTCTCTGGACCCGATGTGAGGTCGGGTGGGCTCCATCAGCACCTCCCTTCCGTTCTTTACCATTTACCTCTGGTCCTCCATTCTCGTCTGCAGTTTCTTCTTCTTCTCACAACCAACTCCCCATGACTTAAAATGTCTTGACGACAATCTCACACCATCACCTCATTTCCTGTCTCTGGCTGGCCCTCCCAACGGCCTGGCTCACCTGCCACCTGCCCTTGCCGCTTTCCCGCGAACTAAGGTAAAGCAACATATCGCTACTTCTTTGCGCGCGCACACGCACACGCCCATATCTCCTCCTCCTCGTCCACACCCACATATCCACGCCCACCTAGGTACCTAGCCCACCCGCGCATGTGGCCATCGACCGGGCCCGGATACCACCTAGAGGAAAGCCAGCACTGTCTGTATTCGTTTGTACAGCTTCGGTGCTCTTTTGCTTCACGAACATACCTGTCTTTCGAACAATTCACTTTCACTTCCCACCTTCACTCCCGTTCGTTTCTGCAAAAACCCCTACGCAGGTAACCGCTCCATGGGACCCATACATCCAGCGGCTTCCTACTATCTCGCCTGTCGTTCCTACCCGTTCTGTCGTTCCTACCCGTTCTGTCCTTCCTATTCCTTGCCACCGGATGCCCTGAGCCTGTTCTTGCTCTTGCTTCTGCTCCTGCTGCTCTTGCCGCTGAAGTATCTTTCTTCACCGACTGGCCTCTCCTTCCATTGCCTCTCCTCCTGGCCTGTGAAGCAAGTATATTAGGCTTCTGCCAGATCATGTCAGATCCTCGCCATTTCTCCCTCAACCGTTTCTTCTCCCATTAACGCCATTGTCTTCCGCACCAGCCTTTGTCTCGTCTTCACTTCTTCCCAATCCTTTATACAAGTCAGTCTCTGCCACGCCTACTTAGTTTCTCTCAGACGCTCCTCAACTTCAAGAACACTTACGTAGTCATTGGCTCCGCCGTCACTACGTCCCCTTCTTCTTAAGGCTTGTCCCGAGCCTCAACCTGATTCAAAGTCGCTTTCTTCACGCCCACGCTTCTTGGCCCTACATCCCGCGCCGCACGGCAGAAAGTCAATATCAAGCAAACGTTTCCAGGTTCGTTCCGAACATGCCCCCTGCCACTGCTTACTCATGTTTCGCCCATGGTCATCTTCTGACAAGTCTGATTTCAGTTCTCACATCAGCAGCAAGATGGCGTCTAGTGCAGTTGGTCCGGTCGTGGGTGCTACCACAGCAGCCGCTGGCCATCACATCCATCACCTCGACCGCAACGCCCCAGTCGCGGACGTTCCTGTCATCCCCACTGGCTTTCCCGAGACAGTGGTCAACGAATCAGCCTGGACCGGCCCGCAATTTACCAAACAGTCGCAGTACACTTACAGCCTCACTAATGCGGACCTTGACGAGCTCGCTGCCGCGCTCAAGCACTTCAAGAGTATGCTAAAGTCTGCCCACCTCATGCTACCATTGTCCGAAGGCTGACTTTTGGTGCCAATCTAGCTCTGGGCCTAGACGGCGATCTTGTTGGCCGGAACAACTTCCCTCTGCCGACCCTTGGTGCCACTTTGGATGGCATTGCTCGTGACATTCATCACGGCAAGGGCTTCGCTGTAGTCCGCGGCATTGACCCCCAGCAGCACTCTGTCGAGGATCTTACGATCCTGTACCTTGGCATTCAGGGATATGTTGCCAACCAGCGTGCTCGTCAGGACAAGAAGGGAAATATGCTTGGTACGTTGCTGGCATTGTGCCCTTGTTCGCCTTAGGACATTCTTTGCTAACCATAACCAACAACAACAGTCCACATTGTTGCCGACAATACTAGCCAGGCCAAGGCGGATCACCATCGCCATTCTACTTCAGCCATTGTAAGCTTTACGACCACTGTCTTTCCTCGCAAAGTACTGACAAGGCCATCCCTAGACCTTCCACAATGAGGAGTCCGGCGATGTCATCAGCTGGTTGACCCGCAACACTGCTGCCGCCGGTGGCAAGTGCATCATTGCCTCTGCTCACACCGTCTACAACGTTCTTGCAGCCACTCGGCCTGACATCATCCGCACTTTGTCCCGTTCCGACTGGCCCTTTGCCCTGTAAGTAAACAGTCTCAGCTGCCTACCAATTCTCCGTTGTTTCCGAGTTGTCGCCTGACCAGACCTCAGTCCCAAGTTCCAGTGCCGTCCGGTTCTCTTCCATCATGATGGAAAGATCATCATCAACTTTGGTCGCACCCCTTTGATAGGCAACTCGGCTCATCCTAGACCGGCACACTTTCCATCCTTGACAGCTCGCCAGATTGAGGCACTTGATGCTGTCGAAGCAATTGCCAAGGCTACTCAGATGGAGATTCAGACTCGTGCTGGCGATATCCATTTCATCAACAATTTGGCCATCCTCCACCGCCGCGAGGCCTTTGTCAACGGCCAAGGTGCTAGTGAGAAGCGTCATCTTGTGCGCATGCGCGTGCGCAATGAGCAGCTCGGCTGGTCTATTCCCGATGCTCTCAAGCGCGAATGGCATGATGCCTTCGACAAGCCTGCCGACCGCGTCTGGCACCTGGAGCCGATGCCCGACGCGTTCTTTCCCCTCAGAAAGTACCCCAACTGATTCCGAACATTCTGGTCTTTGATTTTCTTGCTCGGACGCCTGATGAAGAATCACCAAAAAGGGAGAAAGAGGCGTCATGGTTGCATTGTTTGGACTTGCATGCTTCGATCCCGGGAGACTGGGCTGGGCTTTTTCTTGCGCGGAGTCAACCACCACATCTTCTCTTGTCCGACTTTCCTTTCGCAACATTTCACTTACCCCCCCTTGCACCACAAAAGTTTATTGTCGTTTCCTCGTCGTTTACAGTCAGAAAAGCACGGAGTCCATTGGAGTTCACACAGTAGAACCCGGCTGGGAAAAGCATGTATACAATGGTTGGGATGTTAAATCCGGCGTTGTTATAGTATAACCTAATAATCCTTAACCGTCAAGACCTGTCTGGTATGTGAAGCTTGAAATGACTTCGGCAAGTCTGATTCTGAGACAAGTGGCACTGATATCCCGGCTGCCAATAAGTTGGCTGTGAAATAGGTAACGGCAGCCATTGGTCACACGACCGTGGAGCTGGAAACCTACACCCATGCAGTACCGGTCAAACAGCTAACCAATGGCCAAACATATTCCAAGACATCGGTGTACGCCTGCCGACGCGGCCAAAACGGAACCTCATTTCATATTTTCAGCTTCTCAGTCACAAAAGGCCTGGTTTCCTCCCTGGCGGATCTGACGGAGCTGCTCATCGCGAGCTACGGCAGTTCCACAGAGAGGCAACACAAGCAAAAGAGACGGTTATCTGCATGAGGCTTCTGCGTAGACTCTGGCCAGTGCTTTATTGTGAGATTGCCGCATTTGGTTTCTGTCAAGTTTGTATATCTTGCTTCATTACACTGACGATTGTGGAATCAGGGAACCAACCCCATTATGCATGGAAGAACCGCCGCTTGATCTCTCTACGGATCCAACATTGCTTCTTCGCCGCCTCTAATGTAGAAAGACGTGCATATGACGGTCCCGTATTCTTAGCCCCAAACGACAACCCTCTCTGGTGGACAACAACTCAGCTGCAAGGAGGAAAAGCAACGATGATGCCAACAGACATCAATGTCTGGGATCCTCAACGGTGAGGCAATTGATGTTTGCAAAGCAAGTATGGCGTCTTGACCGGTCGACCAGCTGACCGACATCTTAGATGGGCATGGACTTCGCAGTTTGCCATGGCCCAAAGGACAATTCGAGCATCCTGACCTCTAGGGGAGGCGACAGCCGCCTAGGAGGGCCGAGGCCTTTGTCGAGACATGCAAAGAGCCACTAACCGCTTCTATTGACAGTGTGCCTGTGGCTTTTTCTGCATTTCTGTTGCGCTTCTCTTAGTGATCGGCAAGCAAGCGAGCGCGTGGCTGCAGCTTGTGGCGGGACGACAAGCAGCTTTTGACACCTGCAATACGCTGGTATCAGTGTCGATGGGCATGCACAATTTCATCGCCTGCATGGGAATGCCGAATCGC